AATCATGGAACTGGGAAATAAGCAAAAAAGGAAGCAAGGTATAGTGGTTAAATCAGTGATCTGGGAAGCAGCAGAGCTAGGGGTGCTGAATGGGTTATTAACCAGGAGCTCACAAACAGATTTGATGGGGTCACACCCATCCATGCTTTCTTTATGGATAAATGGGAGGAGCATCTTGAAAATATTTTCTGAGGTAACATGGGTCCTAGTATGGAAGAGCCTGAGTACTACTAGTCTCTCTAATCTGGCTTCCATGCCCATCCCCATAGTATCAGGGCACCTGACTGCAAGGCCGCCCAGAGGGGGGGGGCAAATGGGGCAATTTGCCCCAGGCCCCGCAGGGGCCCCCACGAGAATATAGTATTCTATAGTATTGCAACTTTTTTTTTATGGAAGGGGCCCCCGAAATTGCTTTGCCCCAGGCCCCCTGAATCCTCTGGGCGGCCCTGCCTGACTGTTCTTGGCTGTACAGATTTGCTGAGTGATGTTGGGCAAGTCATTTCCTCCCTTCCTGTCTCAGTTTCCTCATGTGTAAAAATAGGGATAACAATGGTCCTGACCCCACTCAGGGAGGTAAGAATATATAGACAAGAGGGTTCATTTGTTAATTCACTGACAAAAAACTTTGTTAACACAGAGTTCAATGAGATGTTCCCCTGGTGTTATCGGGACCAGTGATCTCCTAGGTCACTCCAATCCTCGACTCTGGGAGCCAGCCTTACCCTGCTCTGCTGTGAGAACCCCCACTCCTGGGCTATTCACGCACAGCCTCTGGCATGTAAGCTGCTCCCAGCTACGTGAGTGAGCACTTTTGGACAGCTGCTGCTTGGATTGTGCAACCGAATGACACTAGCCACTATCTCCGGTCCCAGACACAACCCTAGGAACCTCCGTTTTGCAGTGTCCAGTTATGCCGGCTGGACGCTGCAAGCTTATATGAGTTCATCAATTTAACAAAGAAATTGATATGTACCAGGCTTGTTATCCCAAAGGGAGTCTCTGACATGCTTCAGACCAAACACACTGCTTCAGGTAGAATAAACAAACAAATTTATTAATTACAAAAGATAGATTTTAAGTGATTATAAGTCAAAGCATAACAAGTCAGATTTGGTCAAATGAAATAAAAGCAAAACTCATTCTAAGCTGATCTTAACACTTTCAGTGTCCTTACAAACTTAGATGCTTCTCACCACAGGCTGGCTGATTGCCCTTCAGCCAGGCTCTCCCCTTTCTCTCAGCGCTTCAGTCACTTGGTGGTGATGTCTGTAGATAAAGGTGGAAGAGAGAGGAAGAGCATGGCAAACGTCTCTCCCTTTTATCATGTTCTTTCTTCCCTCTTGGCTTTGCCCCCCCCTTCAGGGTCAGGTGAGCATTACTTCATCGTAGTCCCAAACTGACCAAGGGAAGTGGGGTGACTCACTCGAGAGTCCAAGAGATCCTTTGTTGCTGCCTAGGCCAGTGAGGCAGGGCTGGGTTTGTCCCATACATGCCCTGATGAGGTGTGAACTGCCCCTCTGCTCCTGGAGTGTTTTGCCTGGGCTTGTTTTAAGCCACGAGGACACATTTTCAGCCTCATAACTATATACATGAAATTACAACCTATAACATCACTGTAACAACAATGCTCGGTGCATCAATGAGCCTTCCAAAGACACCTGACATGACCAACTTTGCATTGCATACCACATAATCATATTATAAGGATGAACATGGGGTTTCAGGGTCTTCCCCCGAGGTACAGAACGTCACATTCAGGTTGCTGGGTTCCAGAATGTCAAGTTCAGTGACACTCAACCCTCTGAAACCCAGGAAATGAAGAGTTGAGGTATACACCAACACAACCTTAACTCTGCCCCCTTGGAGCTGGCAAAAGTCACTGGGAATTACCTGTTTGGCCTACAGCTGCATTCCCTGTTTGAAGTGTAGCTGTACTGAATGGTGGAAGCATTAGTTGGAGCAACTTTACTGAGCTCTGATTGTGGTATGAGGAGATCAGGGAGGCCTAAGCTCCGCCCACCCCCATGTGTGTGACAAAAGGAGAGAGGTGCATGTGTACCTTAAGGCAGGGGTTCTCAACCTTTTTCTCTCTGAGACTCCGCCAACAAACTATAAAAACTCCATGGCCCACCTCTGCCAGAACAACTGGTTTTCTGCATATAAAAGCCAGGGGCAGCATTAGGGGGTAGCAAGCAGGGCAACTGCCCAGGCCCCATGGCATATGGGGCCCTGCAAAGCTACATTGATCAGGCTTCAGTTCAGCTTCAACCCTGGGTGGCAGGGCTCAGAGCCCCGGGCTTCAGCCCCATGCGGTGGGCCTTCAGCTTTCTGCTCTGGTCCCCAGCAAATCTAATGCTGGCCCTGCTTGGCAGCCCCCCTGAAACCTGCTCATAGACCCCCAGGGGGCCCCATACCCCTGGTTGAGAACCACTGCCTTAAGGGATCCAGTATACCTCATGTCAGCACACAATTCTGTAGGTTATGTCAGCAATAGTGCACAAGGGTCTTCTTGCCATGGGATTGTAAGCAGAGAGGAGGAATATGAGAGTGGTCTGTGGGTTTAATGATGGATAACTGAAAATACAGTGTTAGATGGACTCCTGGGAGTACAGGTGAATGGATTGTAAAAGGAAGTGAAGGGGCTGTAAAACTTAACAAGTATGGGGTTGTTTCTGGGGAGTAGGCTTGGCGTTTGAGTGTAGAACAGTTGTAGGTAACGCTCCTGATCAGCACTGCTCACCTAAACTCAAGTTTTGCCTTAGCAAAGAGAAGGTGCTTGACTCTGTGCTACAGCTGTCATGTGCCCTTATTCCTTGAATGATATGCACTATCTACAAAGGCAGAGTACAAATAGTACAAATATGGCTGTTATGGGCATACTCATCATTACTCAAGGAGGGTAGCATTAAGGTTGTGTGGACATGTGCCTCAAAGCCTGTATTTCCTGGTTTTCAGAAGTTTATGCTTCAAATACCTTAATTCTTGAGTTACTGGTTTTGAGAGGTTTGAGTTTTGCTGAACTTAATGTTCTGGAAGGCCTAAAGAGTAATATGAACTCTGTATGAATGATGTTTTTGTCAGTGAATTTGCTAGGTTTTTTTTAATAGAAAGAGAAGTGTTTGTTGTAGGAGTCTTTTGGTAGTTGTAGTTATCAGGTAGGTTTGTAGTTGGTATGCTTCTGTAGCTAGGTAATAATTATACCTAGCTCTTATATAGCACTTTTCATCAGTAGATCTGAAAGCATTTTACATCATTATCCCTATTTTACAGATGGGGAAACTGAGGAACAGAGAGGTGAAGTGACAGGAATAGTCCCAGTCCAGTGGTCTCTCCAGTAGGCCATAGTTGCTGTGTGAGTCCTAAGTGCTCCTCTCCACTCCCATATGTGTACACTTTTTTATAGTGCATTGAGGATAATGATCATTCTTTTAAATGTTTGCAGTGTATAGTTGCTGAGAGAAATCACAGATGTGGTCTATATCCTACATTTTTGAGAGTTTTATCATGTGGTGGTTACAGTAACTTTAAGCCTGTGAGAGGAAAGTGGCGCATTTCTTCTTTACTATCCCTTCCTCCCCCATTCTCCTCTCCTCCTGCCCATTCCCATTTAGCCTTCTCCCTTCCTGCAGACCCAAACCCCTTTTCCCACCCACTCTTCTGCCTCTAGTTCCTGCTTCCCTCCACCAACCATTCACATAGTTTGAGTGCCTTCTGAATTATCTGATGTGCTCAGATTACATTTCCCCAAAACAATAATAATGATTAAAAAACAAAGGAACAACCCTGGAGAGATGTGAATTTCACTCTGAGATTTCTGATAAGAGTAGGTTTCAAACTTAAAGTGCCTGCATGTTAGTCAGTTTTCAATGGCCATGCTCCCTGAGGCTATATGAAGGCTAGCAGGCTAGCAGCTCTCTTGGTTAGTCTTTCTTCACATGTGCACTGTAATCTGTTCAGCATGTGAGTGTTAGGTTCTCGCCTATATGGTGAGTTTAACTCCTTTTTTGAATAATGTTTTCAATATTGCTTCCCCAAAGGGGCTGTGAATGCCATGCACTAGCTGGGATGAATGTTGATCCTGAGATCATTTTGAGCCCCAGGTCTAAGCAAAAAATGGCAGAATGTGTCAACCTTAAGAAATACTTTTGTGTAGGGCTGTGCTGTATCTTGGGAACCCCATTCTCAAATGAGCCCAATTTTGGAGCAGTTGATTCTACCCTGCGGTCCCATGAAGCACGCCAAATTACAAGGCAATGCGAGTAAGCATGCAGATTTTAGAGCATTTAGAAGAGTTGTCCTTTAAACAGTAAGGGCTCCTGAACCTGAACAATGGCAGAGCTGGCGTTTGGCCCTAGGTAAAGGCACCGGAGACCCTCCCCTGGAACTTCAAAGGTGCTCAGACTGCAGTGGTAGGGTAGGCATGGAGCAGGCAGCTAGATGAGCGATACAGGAAAGCGGGAAAGTACTGCTAACTGGTATTAATGAATTTAAAATTCCTGTGTGTCCAGCACCAGGTGAGTATGTGCACAAGGGGTTTGGGGGTGACAAATGCACCTGCAAACTGCCTGGGGGTCGGTGGGGAAACTTTACTATGTGTTTGCTTTAGTGCCCAGCCCTCAGGAGAGGTGGGGAGAGACAGAACCATGGCGCTGCTTGTATCTATTCGGAGTGGCTATTCATCCTGGTTTGCTACGCTAAATTCACTAATAATCGATTATTAATTATTGTGCATTAGAGAAAATGGTTCATCCTAGCTCATGGGTTCGTGCCTGTCCCTGATTTTCATTAGTTATCGGGGGAATTTAGGGCAAGGGACCCCACCTCCCATCCTTAGCCGCGTGCTCCTGGCGTCAGCCCCCTAGCCTGGCAATGGCCCGGACACTCCGGCAGTGCCGCGGCTGCGGACAGGGGGCGCCGGTGCCCCCAGCATAGGGGCAGGCGGGGGCTGGGTTTTGGTCTCCACGTGACTCCGCGAAGTTTCGCTGCGAGTTTGACAGAAGTTTGAATCGTGGGTTTGTGCAGCCGCCAAGGCGAAGCGCAGGAGGTAGCAGCCGCCGGCGGCAGCCCCGGAGCAGCGCCCCCGGACAGCCCCCTCTGCGCCTGGGCTCACCCCCAGCCCTCCTCCCCGGCTCCCCGCAGCCCATCGCCCTGCAAGGGTGCGCTCCGCCCGGCGACACACGCATCGGCCAGCCCTGCCCGTAGCCTGAACATGTCCGAGCCCACCGCCTCGGCTGGCGACAAGGAGCCCGGGCAGCAGGTACCGCCCCCCTCCCTCTCCTGTCCCCTTTCTCTGCCTCTCCCTGCTCCTCCCGGGGCTTGGCTGACCGTGGCTCCCCGCCCTTGTCTCTCCCCTGCAGGGCCGGCGGCTCTTCGGGCTGCGCTGGGGCCGCCTGGAGGAGCCCCTGGGCTTCATTAAGGTGCTGCAGTGGGTGAGTTTGCTACAGAGGCTCTTTCTATTTCGGTACCAGTGAGTGACGTTCCTGCAAAGCAACGCAGCGCTCGCTGGCTGGCTGCACTGCGGGGGGGGCTGCTCTTTTCGGGGGCGAGTTCTTGGTGAGTGGGGTATGGGGTAGGGTTAGAGGAGGGAAGGAGCTGGGCATGCGGTGCCCCTCCCAGGCAGCCCTTCTATGTGCAAGGAAGGCCTGCGTTTATGGGGAGAGCTATAGGAACTGGCCTTAGCCCTGCTCACGTTTCACTCTGGGGAGAGGGGGGGAAAGCTGGCTGCAGTGGTTTAATCTTTCCAGAGCTCTGATCCTGCACATACCAGGCCTCCACGGTCCCCCAGCTCACTTGAACTCTCCTCTCCTGCCTCCCGTGGGAGAGATTGGAGTCCTGCACATATTTGGACCCCAGTACTTGGGGCTGAGTGTGTGGGAACCCCGTCCCCTCTCAGAATAGATCTGTTATAGAACAGCCTTCTGCCACCTTCTCTGATCACGGAATCAGGTGGTAATAGCTGGAGTTGTCTGCTGCAGCACTATTGAAAGAACCTGTGTTCCGAGGGCAAAGTTACAATTGTTTTATAGCAGGGGTTCTCAAACGGGGTTGGGACCCCTCAGGGGGTCACGAGGTTATTACATGGGGGCTCATGAGCTGCCAGCCTCCATCCCAAACCCTGCTTTGCCTCCAGCATTTATAATGGTGTTAAATACACAAAAAAGTGTTTTTAATTTATAAGGGGGGGGTCACACTCAGAGGGTTGCTATGTGAAAGGGGTCACCAGTACAGAAGTTTGAGAACCACTGTTTTATAGGGTCGGAGTCAGGCTCCACTCTGAATGTGTAAGGCATTGTCAAGAGAGCTTTACATGTACTGACTCTGTTAAAGGAAAGAACTGTTGTCCAGGGCAGGATGCTGAGAGCCAGGACTCCTGGGTTCTAATCCTACTGACTCTCATGTGACCTTGGGCAAGTCATTTCACCCCCCATGAGCCTCAGCATACCCATCCATACAGTGAAGATATGCACCCCCTTCTCAGCAGCGTTTCGCCAAGGCCATTGTGAAGTAAACAGGCCATAGAAGAACGCCGCCTTGGTGTTCTGAATACCACCAATTATGATTATAAAGTTTGCAAAGGGAACTGTTTAAAAGGCCTTCTGTCTGAATGAGGAACCGCAGCACTAGCGTATCTCATGGCACATCAAGGGTACTGCATTTGTTTCATGTCTCCATGTGGTGACGGAACTGTTCAGCAAGTGTTCGTGGTGGGCAGGTCACACTCTTGATCTGCCAGGATCCAGGGAGCCTGTACTTAGTATATGGTGTGCCATGTATTCAGCATTTGGCTTGCCTGTAGCTCTCTTCATCCGGAAATTACTTCACAAAAGTAGGGGAGTGTCATGACCCCTGTTTTACAGCTGGGGAGAGTGAACCAGACAGGGGAGGTGATTTGCCCAAGGTCACTGGCAGGGCTAGGAATAGACCCACATTGCTTGTCCCGCCCCACATCCCAGCCCCTCACCCACACAGCCTCTGAGAAGCTGTCTGTGACTCTGTTTACTTTGGGTGCACACCTCTAGGCTCACACCTTCCCAAAGTAGCTCCGGTTTTGGATCCCTCTATTTTTGGGAGCCTAACCTGAGACACTGGGAGCCGGATTTTCAGAGGTGCTGAGTGCCTGCAGTCCCGACTAAAGTCAACGGGAGCTGCTGGTGCACAGCACCTCTGAAAATTCAACATGTCTCAAGTCAAACACCCTGAAATAGAGGCATCCAAAATCAGTGGCCGGTCTCTCAAACATTGGCCTCGCTTCTCACTTAGCCACATCTGAGAGGTGCTGAGTACCTGGAATTCTCACGGAAATCAATTGGAATGGAAAGTGCTTCAGCATGCTGCAGAATCAGGCCTCCAACCAATAGTAGCAAAAGGGTTTAAATCCCGGGGAGGGAAAGAAATGATACAGGGCGGTTCGAAGGGGCATAACTAGGAGGGACACTCTAACACTGAACAAAGAAACTTAAGCTGAATGCAGGAAAACAAGGGGTAACAAAGGCCAAGATCCTCAAAGGTATTTACGCTGTCAGTGGAAGTTAGGAGCCTAAATACCTTTGAGCATCTGGGTCAAAGAGTTCTTTGTGGTATAAAGTCTCAAGTAAAATGGTGGGAGACACATTTAAAATTAGGCTGGGCAAAGTACTTGGGACTATACAGAACGGAACAGTCCCGCACTGGCTGAGAATGGACAAGGCGATATAAGTCCTCCTCTGCCCCGATTGCTGTGATTCTCTGCCTGTTCAGGATTTGGTTACATAGATCAGTCCTTTATAGATGAAGTGGGAACCCCTCAGTCTGTTCAGCCTATGTTTTCATTCTCTCTCCCGTACACACACACACACAGAGTTGTTTTCTCTTCCTGTCGCTCATGGGAGCCAGAGTTCAGGGTGCATGAACTTAACCAGAGCTGAGTGTTTCTGCATGAGTTACCAGAAAACTATTCAGAAGCCACATTCATCTTCCCCCCACCATGCCAGTGGAAGAGAAAGAGAAATTCAACTCAGAACCAAGAACAGGAAATGTCATTTGAGACTCGTAACCGTTTCCTGCATGGATGAATTACTCTCATTACAGGGGGCGGGGAGGCAAAGAAAACAAGACATCAGTTTATTGGTCCTGTAATTGAAAACTGATTTTGGTTTAGAGGCATAAAGGCCCTTGACCATCATCAGCCCCAGAAAGCGAATTAAAAGGTGCTTTAAAGGAAAAAGATCCTACCGGAGGCTCAGGCCCTCAGCTTCACAGTTCTGAGAGAGACATTCGGGTATTGGGCTGCATCTTGCAATGAGGCAGGAAGTTTGAGGTTCTTGTGAAAACACAGATTTTTCTTTTAAGGGATTCTCTGCTTCTGCCCATGCCACCTGCCTGCATGTCTCCACATCAGCCGTTCTGGAAACACCAGATTCTCCGGGAGGTTTCTGAACTGCTGATTCTGGGCTTTAGGGCACAGGTGGCCCTGCGGTGAAACTCTTCCAAAGATACCAAGGAGCCGGCTCAACCATCCGCATGGGCAGGTAATCCCCACTGAGGCCAATGGGGCGGGGAAGAACCGTGTGCAGCTTTAGGTCTCGTGGGACAGCATCCAGGTCCCTTCTCTGCCTGTGGCAGTTCCCTTCCACACACCCACAAGCCCATTGTGCACCTCCCTCTGCCAAGTGAGTGCAGAGAGCCTCATGGAGTGCACACAAGCTGGCCTGCTCACTGGGGGCCAGTGAGCGATGTGGGGAAGGGAGCCAGTAAGAAGAGATCTTTGGGATGGCGCCCGGCCAGCCTGTGTTGCTGGCACAGATGGGTAGGGATGGAACAGAGGAGCTCAGCAGGGAGGAGGAATCACTGAGAGCGTGGGCTATCTATCAACTGTGCTGGACGGTTACTAGTGCTGTCAGCTGTTCAGTGGTGGGGATCAGGCCCCATGGAGCCCCCACAGGAAGCGCTGGTGTGACAGATCTTTGGAACGGGGAAGCTTAATGAGCCAGCGACGTGTTCACTGCCTTGTGCGCTCAGGTGTCCTGATGCTGTGCTGCAGTCAGTGGGGCCTGTCTGCCCGTGTGGCACAGTGTCTTCTTTGTGAGCAGAGCCCCGGGTGCCATAGTGTGCCCCAGGGGGAGGCATCAGCCCCATTGTCTCCAGCAGTGGGACAGCTCTTGCTGTCTTTAAGCCATGATGCCTATGTCAGTCACTGCAGCTATTCTCTGCCCTTACCTACAGGTTTCTAAGTGATTCTTAGAGCAGCTAGTAGTTGGAGGTGGGTGTGGTGCAAAGCAGAAACGGATGCTGTGTAAATACTTCTGCCAACCTGGCATGTTGCCTGTTAGGGTTTCTTCCTGTGCTGACCCCCCTCAGCCCCAGAACCTGCAAAAGGCCTTGTTAGAAAGGAGAGTTATAGGAGTCATCCTGGCGGTGCTGTTGTTCCCTTCCCTGGAGCTGGTGCAGCTGGGAGGTGCTGGGATCTGCTAGAGCCGGGGGCAGGGAGTTAAGACACTGGGATTCTATTCCCAGCACTGCTACTAGCTGCCTTTGTGCTCCTGGGCAAGTCACTTCCCTGCTCTGGGCCTTATCTCTGCCTTCAGTAGGAATCAATGGGCCTGCTCCACAGCTGCTGTAAACTGGTGTAGTTCTGCTGAAGTGAGAGCACCAGTCTGGGGGCACATAACAGTGACGGGGAACATGCATCCTGAGAGAGGTTGTAGTCTGAGATCGCACCTCTCATGGTCCCTGCAAACGTGTCTGGTTCTCTCTGAGGAAGGTACGTACTGAGTTCGTATGCAACATAGCAAGTAGAATCCCAACCAACTGAACTGGGAAGAGAGCCTGGCTCAGAGGATTCCTGGGATCTAGAGAACTTTCACTGCTAGGCTGCCAGCTTCGCCAGCTCCCGGTCAGGGGAGCAGTAACTGAGAGCTCTGGTGATGGCTCTCCAGTGGTGTTCTCGGCTCAGTTCCATATCACAGAACCTCCATCCCAGTTGGCACTGACTGTCCCCCTTACTGGGCCTTAGCCAGAATGGACTACAGAGACTGCTTCTGTCTCTGTCTGGGTCATAGCACTGCCTGGTCTTCTGTGCGGAAGAGATTGACTCCAGCTCCGCTTTTTCCTCCCCTTGCACTGCTGCTCAGGGGAGTGCTCTAAGAGCGGTTGCTTGGGAGACAGGGGTGCTCAGGAGCACTGGGTTCTGGTTCTCTATGTTTTGCTTGTGTCGGCCTGTTCTGATTTCTTGTTACAAACATTATCACTCAAGGAAAAGACCTTGCTGACTGGGTTTTCTGCTGGGTCCTTGCACCAGGTGACAGGGATATCATATGACCATGGCACTACATTGCAACTGTTGAGGATGTTGCCTTGATGATGATGTGTGCATACGCCATTGTTATATTGTGATGATGCCCCAAATAAACTCAGGACTATTTACCTGTGAACACTGAGGCTATCTTGTAAATTTCAGGAGGCGTGGTGAGCTCAGAAGAGCCTGTTGCATGTTGTTAGTTCACTGTCACCAGCTGGAGTCCCTCTGACTCCAAAACCTTTTGCTTTTCTCTTCCAGCTCTTTGCCATTTTTGCCTTTGGATCTTGCGGCTCTTTCAGTGGGGAGACAGGGGCTACTGTGAAATGCAATGATGACCTGAAAGAGATGACTGCCATCTCTGTCCAGTTCGGATACCCTTTCAGGTAACGGGGGACTTTGCTGGGCACTAACCCAGAGGATGCTTCCTCTCCAGAGTTACATGCCACTGGAGATGGTAATCAATCCATCTGAATAGACAGACTGGCCTGACAACAATACTTGACTCAATGGAGAGAGGTCTGTGAAGGCACCAGAACCCATATCCTATCCCCAGCTTCCCAGATGAGTGCTTTTCCCAAACGAGTACACTCTGACTTGCTTTTATTACCATTTTCAAAAAGGAAATACTTTTTGAGGCAATGTATTGTTAACCAGTGGAACTCAATGCTGCATGATATTTCTGACAGAACAGGACTCACACTGCAGTTTTTTCTTTAATTTTAATGCTACCTAAACAGATTGAACTTAGTCTGGGAGTTGAAGGATGGCTGTTTAACTGCTCCTATTGAAAAATGACTCCCATTTGGGCTCTCCTTTGGGTTTTGAAAACCCCTTCTGCAATGGGTGTGGGCAAAGGAAGGGGAGAGGGCAGACTGGTATAGATCTTAATTACCCCAAACTAACTGCAAATAGGAAGCCGCGAGGGAACGGATCCAAAGAAATGGCCTTTGGATGCCTGAAGAGTGGGAGCAAGTGGGCACAGGATGGACACTGCCTGATCCTATGGTGTGGCAGGGAAGTTGGTTCCTAAGCCAGCTTAGTTGCAAAGAGAACAAGGCATTTTTAAATAAACAAGTGGGGAGAGCCAGCGAGAGGAGCTGCCAGCCTTCACCTCCATGCTCTACCGAAGCCCTGTCTATGCAAGGCTCCTATGGCCACTGAAGCACCGTAACTCAGACCGATTCACACCAACTGAGGATCTGTCTCCACTGAAGTCAGTGGAGCTGCGTCCTTTGACATCAGCATGTCTTAGACCTGCTCTGAGGAGTAAATGGTGCTTAAAATGGTGCCAGCTGCCTCCCTAAGGCTCCCAGCATTGCTGCTGCCCGTGGAGCTGAGCTGGGGTTAGCAATGTTTGAAAAACTCCCTTTGTGTAGAAAAGAGAGCTGCAGTCAGGCCACAAGTTGTAAATAAGGTTATGGCCAATGGAGAAACTGCCCCCTCAACCCAGCCCAGATCTCTTCTCGCCTCAGCAGAGCAGACCCCGCTCCTCAGGCCAGAGTTGGGCCATGCTTTCTCGCGTGAGCGCCTGCAGGTTGTGTGTTTTGTTGATTATATTTTTTTCTTTCTCCTCTGAAACATGTTTTGTCCAGTAACATAGACACCCCACTCACTGGGGATTTACTCAGGAATGCAGTGTTCTGTATGGGCCCATCTTCTCGGCCCTGTGCTAGGTGACTTAGGGACCTTGAAAGCTGGGTTAATCAATGCTTGAATAGCTTTGACTGCATCGTATTTAAAGGTGTATCCTCTCCGAGCATCTCCTGGAGGCAGAATACCCAAGGGAGAGCCAGTCCATTATGGACAGATCTGTTCTGAGCCCTTTAGCTCTTCATCCAGGAGAGCATTTCAAACACAGACCCCAGAGCATAGGGAACCCTTTGCCCAAGACAAGCTAGGGAGGCTGTATGACTGAGGTGAAACCTTTTGGATATCTTCAGGCTGCATTGTATGGGTGAATGCATGAACAGACCCGGTATCAGTTCCCACAAGAGAGGAATTCGTGCCACTATTATCTGAGGCAAATAGCATAGCAAAGCTTCAAAGAATGATTAGATATTTGTATGAATAAGATCAGCACCTTCAGTTATAGTAGCTCTGATAATAACTGGAAGGGCTTTTAGTCCTCATACTTCAGGGCATATGCTGATCACCAGCTGGGTCAGGAAGAAATTCTTCTTCCCCCTGCCCTGCCCCCTGGTACGGCATTTAAAACAAGGTATTTTTCTTAAAGCATCTTGCACTGGTCACTATTAAGAGATGAGATGCTAGATAAACCATTGATCTGTTCAGTCAAGCAGTTTCTCTGCTCAATTCTCTGTAGGTTGGAGGGCTCTGAGATCCTCCTTAATTAGCTAATGTGGGTGTATGGAGAAAACCATCATAATTCAGAGGTGACTGCTTTAACCCCTTGTAGCTCACAGGTATCAATGTCACATCTGTGAATTCTGAGTGCTATGCTATGGGCTGGCTGCACGCCTGACCTCCTTGCTGGTGTCTCTGAATGTGCCCCTTCAAGTGTCAGGCCTCATGCCTTTACTTCCCTGGGGGTGGAATTACATGATTCTCTCACTCTTAGACTGGATCCTGTGCTTCAGCACCTTGTGTATCTACCGTGCTTACCCCGACAGGTCCGAGTGGGTTCAGCACCAGTAGGTCATCCCTTCAGGAGCTTGTGAGCTGTGGTTAGTACAAAGAACCAGAGAGCCTTCTTACACCAAAGCATTGTTCAGCCTTAACAGTAGGAGCCAGGCATAACATGAGAGAAGGATTAAACAAGAAACAGTCTGCACTCATATCTCTTAACTAAGGTTCACTACCCCCTAGGAAGCCTAGAAGGCCTGATTTCTTCAGTTCCCTCAAATAGGTGTCTGTGTCTATCTGCCCCTCCCTGACAAGGCAGAGAGAGACTTTTTAACTGTTTGATTTCTGTTTCGTTGGTTGGCTCCCAGTACTGGCAGAGCAAGTCTTGTAACTTGGCTTGAGCCTGGAAATAGCAACTTCACAGCAAATAGCTCAGGCATCCTCTTTTAATGAGTGGCTGGTTGCTTAACTGCAGCCATTGTGTTGCCTTCCTACTTTTTCCTAGTCAGTCCTACTATTAAACTAAATCAACTCGTACAGAGACAGTGAATGTCCCAACAACCCACCATAGCCAACAACCAGGTCATATACAGTGTTCATACATCATCACCCGCTCCTCCCCCCATCCTGCACAGCTGTTCCTTTACTCCATTGGCTGTAAACTTGCAAAAGGGGCAACTGGCCTTGGAAAATATCCCTCAGTCACCTGTTTGGAGGTGCGGTAGGGAGAGGGAATATACTGCAGGATCCATCACCCCCATTCCTGATCGCTGCTGAGGTCAGGAGGCAAGTTGCTGCAGACTTCAGCTCATGTTTCAGGTATAGGCCATTGCTGGGTACTGGCATTGATGAGCCAATGGTCTGTTCCATTATGGCTGGCATTCGTTAATCCCTCAGCCACCCCAAAGCCAGAAAGGTTTGTCAAGCAGCAACGAAGTCAAAGCGAGCACAGGAATAGCCCCGTTTGTTAGGGATCAGTAAAAAGGCCTCTCGGGTGAGCAGAAAAGAGGCCAGAATTAGATTGAAATCCAGCCTGTGAAGCTAAACGTATGAAAAGTGTGAACATGGCTATATCTATCCACACATCTCGGCCTGCCTGCCAGCATTTGATAGCTATAAATAGAGGCACACCTCTGATCTCCACTGAAATGCATCTGACTAGGAGCACTGCTAGGAGGCTCAGAGAGGGGGGAAATGGAGAACTGTGCTACTGAAATAACAGTGACTGTCCCTGCTCAATAGGGACAGTTGGCAAGAAGGCGTGGCGAGGCCTTGGGCATATCTCCGTTCCTCCTTAACAAGTGCTCGCACCATCAGAGCTCCTCTAGGGACCTCCAACATATGCAAGACTCCTGCCCAGCTCCGAACACAAGATGGAAGAGTAGATCTCTCATCCCAGTCTGCTAAGGGCGCGTCACCAAACTCACACCCTGAGATGATGAACACAGGGAGAGTTTTAAGCATCTAGCGAACTTGTCCCCCATTTGACGGTCCCTGTTTGCTTGATACATTTCACTGAATGGAAAGCAGGCTGCTCAGTTTCACTGTCCAGGTCCGGTCCTCATCCTCCATCTTGAGGTACACAGGCCGAGCGAAGTGGAGCGTTGCCCATTTAGACCTGCTCCGACCTGGCTCTCGCTTTCTGCTCAGTTTCCAGCTGTAGTTCTCGGGTACTAGCCTGGTGCTGTTGTATTCAGCTGCATGAGAGTGAAGGGAGAGGATCGGGTCGAAGAGAAAATTCCTCTTTTCCTTTAAAGTCAAACTTGGTGGGTGGGGTGATTGGGCCAGAAAGTTTTTCACCCCTCGGTGGCTGTGTCATATTCAGCGTCGGAAGGTGGTGACAGAAAGTTACCTGTTTATGTATGGGGCTTGACTGCCCTGGACAAAGGAGATCTCACTGCCCGGGCAGGGTGCAGTCTAATCAGAGCGTACAGAATTGGAATGCTGGTGCCATCTGATGGCTCTTAGCAGCCTGTGTGAAATGAGTGGGTGGGTGTCATACCGGAACTGAAGTGACAAGTCACAAAATCCTTTCTGTTACTGGCATGAATCAGCCCCATTGCTGGCAGCCTTAGCAGAGAGGTGGTTGGATACCATGGTGATGGGCAACCTTATGGAAACCCAGATAGACAGAGTGGCCAAGGACTGACTGCTGTGGAATCTGAACTCACTCCTAGAGTATGTCTACACTATCAAATCATCCAGGGGTAGCGCTGCTCCAGTGTAAGAGCAAGTGTAGACCAGACACCAGCATTTATACAGCCATGGGCAGGGCTACTGGTGTAGGTCAAGCCCTAGAAGGGATGAGGCACGTTGGTAGGCTGAAGTGTGGGGATCTTACCCTGCCACTGCCCGTGCTGTCCTTGCTCTGTGGATAACTCCCGCCCATGACCCCCCAGCCCCAAGACCACACTGTCAACCTCCTGCAGAGACAGGCCAAGACAGCTGTCCATCTGTCCATGAGGAAGAAGTAGGACAGGGGTTTCTCTGTGACTGTGGGACCTTTTTCCAGGCCCTTGTCCATTCACACATCCAGGCAGGGTTCCTATGGGTGCCATCCACTAACTCCTTGGACTCCTGGGCAGCAGGTGCTCTGTGGGGTTCTCTGCTCAGTGTCTCCCTCTGCATCGCTGGTTTTATCCCATGACCTGCACCGCCAATCCTGTTGGCTTTTGTCCCCCATACTCAGTCCACCCCATCTGAGGGGGTAGGCCTTCCAAGGCTCTGCCCACCAATCCCAGCCTTCAGATAGGCTGGCTCCTTTTACCCAAGAGGGCCGATGGAGGTCTCACCTTCCTCCCTGCTAAATGCGTCTCTCTCCCCACCCCTTTCTCTGTGGGCAGGTTATCCAGGATTCCCTTTGAGATGCCTGTCTGCGAGGGCAACACCACTAAAAGGACTCTGCATCTCATGGGGGACTTCTCGGCCCCCTCCGAGTTCTTCGTGACCCTGGGAGTCTTCTCCTTCCTCTACAGCATGGCAGCCCTGGTGATCTACCTGCGATTTCACTCCCTTTACACAGAGAACAAGAGGCTTCCCTTTGCGGTGAGATCCCTGCCGTAGCCCCCAGGGCTGGGGTTTGTTGGTGGCTCTTACGGCTGCACGGCTTGCTCTAAAGAACCTGTGCCAGAGCACAGGGCTGGGAGTTAGGTCTCCTGGGTCTGATTTCTGGCTCCTCCACTGACTCACTATGGGACCTTGGGCAAGTCACTTCCCATTTCTCGGGAGGGGAAGTCTGGGAAGGCAGAGCTGAGCATCTGAGGGCTTCCGCCACCACTGAGCCATCATTCTGTCCCCGCAGCCCCTTCCAGCCTGGGAACTCTCTCCCTGTGGTGCTGTCACGGAGCTGACCCATAGCAGGCACATTCCCCCTAATCCTAGACAGGGTCAGCAGCCAAGTGATTGAGCCTTCAGCTCTGGGTGCTAGGTGCGAAGGCTGAAGGCAGTTTCAGAGCCGGGGCTCGCAGATGAAGGCTGCAGGCCCCGCGCTGGGATGTAGCAAGATGTCTGTTTGGTGCCTGGGGCTTCAAGTCAAGAAAGGGAGGCATTAGATGCAGGCAGCAAGGGCAGACTGAAGCTGTGCAATGCAAGCCAGGCGGTCCTAAACTCCTTTGCTTATCAAAGAACAGGGGAGATGCATACATTGCGGGGAGGGGCTGGGACACTTGTGGGACCCTCCGGGGAATTTAGGGGCCTTTCTGGAGCATTGGGCCTAGATCTTTTGGAGTCTGCCCTAATCTGCCTGCCAGAGGGGCTGGGGCAGAGATGGGGGGCTGGTCCCTGGGCAGGTGGTGTTGGGAGGCAGCATAGGCCAGGTGGGCTGGAGGTCCTGGAGCTAGAAGAGCGTTCCCATCTCCATGCCTGGGGCTGGGGAGAGTGAGAGGAGCCCTGCTGCGCACAGTGCCAGAACCAGCATGACGTTTCCTTCCTTCCGCTGCCCCCCCAGGATTTCTGCGTGAGCGTCTCCTTCACCTTCTTCTGGCTGGTGGCAGCTGCAGCCTGGGGCAAAGGCCTGTCAGATGTGAAGGGGGCCACGCGGCCGTCCAGTCTCATCGCCGCCATGTCCGTGTGCCATCTCAAACAGGCGGTGTGCAACGCCGGGGCCACGCCAGCCATGGGGCTGGCCAACATCTCCGTGGTAAGAGCCCACAGCGAAGCCAGTGCCACAGCTGTGCGCAGGCAAAGGGGGCAGGGGACCCATTCGGCCAGATTTACACCTGGTGTAAATGGGCTGTGCTCTGTTGAAATGAACGGCCCATTTACACCAGGCCACGATCTGGTCCACAAGCTGCAAAGCCTGTGACTACAAAACTGGAGTAGAGCGCTGGTGGAGACGCCTCTTGGGCTGTGCCATGCCCTGGGTGGGGGTGGAGGCGTTATCAGCACTGGGGTTTGATCCAGGGACCATGAGCTGCTACTGACTGAGCTCCAGCACACAGCTCTGTTAGCCAGAGCTGGACCAGGACCATCGACCTCTGTACATGGACTGCCTGCGCCTAGGGGAGATGGATGGCCACATGGTGCTGTAGTTTAACCAGTGCACCAACGGCAGTCAGGGTGCCAGGAACTGCTCAGACACCCTGGTGTCAATGGTGCATTGGGTGCTGTCTCTGTACTGAGTGCATTGCCCTGAGAGGCAGTCACTGGGAGTGGATGTGTGCGCTCTGAGTGACTTGGCTACTTCTTCAGCACCGGAACAGGGGCAGAGGCAGCAGTTGAAGAGTTGAGGGGATTTTGCCAAGTCTGCATAGCCTCTAGGCCTGGGGAGCTAAGGGAAGTTCTCTGTTAGCTGGAGCAGTAGGCAGCCTTATATCCTTTGAGCCACCAGGGGGCCATGCAGCAGATAGCCGAGCCGTTCTGATTCCACCCAGTAGCGGGGTGTGCACAGCCGGACGCACGCACCCGCCTGAGGTTGGGAGGCCTTGCTGTGAGTGCACTGATGGTAATTGTGCCCTTTGCTCTCTCTGACTCTCCCCTAGCTCTTTGGCTTCATCAATTTTATCCTGTGGGCTGGAAACTGCTGGTTTGTGTTTAAAGAGACCTCGTGGCACGTGCAGGCCACCAACAAGGAGAACTCTGCTGAACAGGGAGCCATCGACAAGCAATAAAGACCCTCTCTGCCTGCCCACCCCCCTCGAGACCTCCTCCCACCCTGGACAGCCGGTACCTTGTCACATACTTGCCTTCATCCCAGCGCTGTGGGACCGTGTTCTGTGCAAGCTCCATCCTCATGTTGGCATCTCTCCTGAGTATTCTGGGATGCCCGCCTATGAGTGACTGGCAGGCGGGAGTCCTGGCTCAGTCCCAGGTATACATAACTCGTTGCAGACTCCAAGGTTCTGGTAGCAGGGTTTATTATTTTTGTTAATAAGTGTAATTTATTTGTTTCTGCGTTCCTGGCCCCCGAGCCTGCGACTGTGTGGAATTGCTCTTCACAGCTGCTGTGATGAGCCTAAACCAATCAGGAGTTTAGATGCCACAAGATGGGGTATGGAGTCACTTTCAGGTGAGAGTGGATGCTCTGGGGAGACCTGAGACTGGGGCACTACAGGACCACCCCTCATGCAAGAGCACCCCCTACTGCCCAACCATGGAAAGGCAGAGGCTGTCTCAGACCTACCCCCTACTTGACTAGGAACAAGGGAGACAGACTAAGATGCAGAAAGGGAAGGTGGAGAATATGCTGTTTCTTGCTCCTGGGAGGAGAAGGCCGGTATATTTCTCCTCTTCCCTTCTGCCTGCCGCATTGTGTATGTCCTGGAGAAAGCTAATGGAGGGTTTTCAGCTGCCCTTGAACTCCAGTTTGGCTCAGTGGGAGACCACGCATTAGGCCAGATAATCTAGTGTAACAGCAGCTTGACACGGGGGTGTGATCCTGCCCTTGCCGGACAGTGATCTAGGAGAGCTTTCCCATCTCTGATCGCACACACGGGCAATGCGGGGGGTGGGCGGTTCCTTACTCAGATCTCCAGATCGTTCCTCTGCCCAAGGCAGCCCTTTTAGCAGCTCTTGGTGCTCATCCCCTCCCTGTCCTACAGCTGAGGAGCAGCCCCAGATTCCTCTGATCCCTCCTTATAAAACCTCCGAGTGTGTGTGAGTGTCTGCTCCATCAGCTCCCCGAGGGGCAGCAGCAGGGGACTGACCCTCTCCAGTGCCCTGAGCCAGAGAGCTTTGCTTGGCTCCTAGGAGACTTTTCTCGCAGCCTAGTGGAGGATCCACTAGCCGAGTTCATGACCCTAGGCCCTAGGCAGAAGGACCCAGGGCTGAGCTGTGCTGACACTGGCACAAGCAGAAGGGAAGCTTTGTCCAAACAGAGTTTTCAGATCATAGTCAGTCTCCTTGTCTGCAGTAGTAATGCCCTCCCCTTACCCCACTGGCACTACACCAGCTGCTCCTACTAGTCCTGTCCCTGGAGCCCAGCAACACTGATTGGTGACAGAGCCCCTGAACAGTACTGTCATCCCCCCGGCCACTGGGGCACTAGGCAGCTGGCCCCGAGCCCATTGGCATTGTAACCCCTGACCCCCCAAGGTGCTCTGTGCTCCCGGAGCCGCTGGGCAGAATGGTAGCGTAGCATCCCTGGTCCCAAAGATAGCCCTGCTTTGTTCTCGGAGAAGGGGCTTGTTCAGCAGGTGCTTTAGTGCCCTGAACTCTGTAAACCCCTCTGAGCCTCAGGGCATTGCTCTGTTGCAAAGGGCTCACTGCCTCCCCTAGAGACAGGCGAGAGCTTTGGTTCAGGGGCCCGGGGAATCCAGGCTCCTCGCTGACTCTTCTGGTCTTACTCTCTCCCTTTCCTCCTCCTCCCCCACGATGGGGGTGCCTCCCTTCTGCTGAAGGAGAGACTGGTGTTAATGGTGCTTTGTTAGCTGGGGACCTTCTGTTCAGCAAAGACCCAATTCCTGCATATTTTGTACATTTCCCCTCGCCAGCACCTCTCGCCCCTCTACGGCAGCCAGGCTCTGGCCAGTTGTAGGGAGCCCTGTGGTGTCTCTGCCCCAGAACCGCAGGGGACTGAGCCCCACACAGCTGCGATGCCCAGTTCCCTGCATCACAGCCCCAGTGCCACATGCGTGGTCCTTATTGTGGCCACGGGATGCCCTGCAGGACAAGAGAATCGACCAATCTGTTGCTGGAGGGCTTCCCCTTCCCCACCCAGGCTTCCCATCCAGCCGGCCCTGGGCCGACTTCTCCTGTCCTTGAGTTCCTAGAGGTAGGTATAAACCCTCATGTTTCTGGACATAAGCCACCACTAGCTGCCAAGGGTCAGGAAGAAGCTTCCCCTGTGGCCAGGCTATTCTTTAATTGTCCAGTATGGGTTTTCTTGCACCTTCCTCTGAAGCAGCTGGTGCTGGATCCCAGACTAGGCGGACCACTGGTCTGATAATTCCTACGCTCCCATGGTGGCTCTGTGGGTACCAGGACAACCAACCCACCAAAGCACCACCACCGCATTTGGTTCTTTCTTTGCCTGTGTCCCTGTTTGCTAATTTGGGGGGATAGTTGAAGCCAATCCTCAGCTGCCAGGCTCCGTGAAAGTCAGGAAGTGACGCTGCTTTACACTAGCTGAGGGTCTGTCCTCTTTGTGGATAAGCCACCGCAGGGACCGATGCTGCTCAGATCTTCCCAGAGTCCAGCGGTGGAATGGACTGGTCTTTATTTTGCTTATCAGTAATTAGTAATAATGGCTCCAGAACCTGGGGGGAAGGAGAGGGCACTTCTCTGCATTTTGTAACCTCAGCCCTCGGGGGTGGGGAAGCGGGGGCTGGGAACCATTTCTACTGTGAGGCTTGTTGTGTTCTGTCTGTGTTTATTTATTTGAAAGGGGAGAGAGAAAATATTATTATTATTATTATTATTATTATTTTTGCTTTGGTGCTAAGGTTGGCACCTGCCCCTTTGCCCAGCACTAGGAGCAGCTCCGATGGCAGCCTGCAGTCCTCCCGCATGGATAACCCCCGCCCCGCCCAGCTCAGGCAGCAGGCTCCAGGCCAGAGACGTGCTCTCCTCACTGGGCCCTGCCCTGTGACAGAGATCCCAGAGGAGGGGTCCTGGGGTTAGGCGGAGGGGGAGGGACCAACCTTAGCTGGTGCTGGCTTTGCGTTTTCCTGTAGAATCTCTTGGCTGGGGGTGGAGGCAGGCCTGGCGCCAGCAAAGGGCCCTGAATGTGTGTGACTCTGCAGGAAGAGGGGTCACGGGGGGGAGGAGGCAATTGCTCTTTAACCCTTTTGGCCACTGTTAAAGCAACCAATTGCAGCAGGAGTTGAGAAGGGGGCAGTGGCCCAATCCCGAGCTCTGCTGTGTGTGCCCTGGCACTGACTGGCTGGAAGCCTCCCCAGGCCAGGCCCGGCCCGGGATTACATTGCATGGTTTTCTGGTGCTTGTTGTTATGACTCTGAATAAAAAGTGCCGTGAGGGTTTGCTACAACAAGGTGCCACTCCGGGCCGGTTTCCTTTGCGCTCCCCACCCATCTCCAACAGTCGCTCTCTACCCTGCTTCGTGTCACGGTACTAGCAAGCCACTTCTCGGCTCCTACAGCCATCACGCCTGCAATGTGTGGTGAGCCTCGAGGGGCTAGTCCAGATAGATAACAGCCTACTATTACTGCCAGCCGATGCTCCCCTAGCTGGAGAGCTGCAGGCCTGTGCTGTTGGATCTGAGGGCCGTGGGTTCAAACCCCTGAAAGGGGAGTTGTTAGCACAAGCAAGCTGTTGCCTGCGCTTGGCTCTCTCTCTCTCTCCGCCCTGTATCGGAGGAGAGCAAATTCAGACCTTGTGCCACCCAGCGGCTCGGGAGGTGCTGGCACTAGGCCACTGAGTGCATCAGCAGCTAGGACCCAGCTTGACATCCACTCAGCAGCAGGTGCTGATGATAGCCTGTGGCCCCCACGTCTCCCAGGGTGGGGTGGAGTGCAGTGGCCATACCTGTGATGGGCCCTGCATTACTCCAGGGAAGGGGTGGGTATGCTGCTGGGCTGGCTGCCTCCCTTGCCCCAAGGGAACAAGCCTGCACTCACCTCCAGGGCAGGTGCTTAGGTAACCTAATACAGCTTTGCTATTTGTTGCAGCAGTGTCATCTCTGCATCTCTGACCAGTGTCTCCCCGCTGACTCCACCACCTGTACGCCACCTGTTCTATTACCCATAGCATCCAGGCAGGGAGGGCATATTGTACGCAGCCACAGCCACCCGTATGCCAGAGTCGCACCATCCCCCCCTGACCTGGCCTGGGAATACACTGCCATCTCACCCACCACAACATGCCCCAAGGATCAAGGGGGGAAAACCCTTGCTTTGATTGTTATGTCTGACCAATCATGTTAGCAGAGCCATACAACCAGGAACGCCCCAGAAAGGGAAAACCACCATCTGTTAAGGGCAGAGCAAATCCCACTAGGCAGATAGGTTGGGGTCATATTAGCCCCAACAAGCTGCTGCACCATTCTTTGCCCACAGGCAAGTGCCAATCAGGCAGGGCAAAATGCTTCCCTGCCTTTGAAAACATGGGAGAAAATGCTTCTGGGCTGATCCCAGCCCCAGGGTGCCCCAAGGCTCAGCGTGAGCACCAAGGGAAAAGGCTGTGAGGGTGGGGTGGTCATTGCTTCATGTTACTATGTACATCTCAGCAGTGTACATGGCACCTAGAAAGAGGGGCAGCTGGATTGTGATCTAGGTTATACTGGAAAAAATCCACAGGAACTCCACCTACTTGGACAGAGTCACTTTGGATTTACACCAGTGTAACTTAGATCAGAAACTGGCCCAAGCTCCTTGTTGCCAGGATCTTTTGGTGTAGTGTTAGGCTGAAGCCAGGATGAAAGGGTGCTAGACACAGAGGGGATGGGCGTGGCAGTGCTAAAGAAGGGGATGCAGTTTCCTGTGGAGATTGAGTGCTAAAAGCACAGTGGCTTTCTTGTGGATCATCCTTCCAAACAAGGCTCAGGGCTCACACCCAAATTCCTCCCTCTAAATCATATTCAGTGCTGGTGTAGGTAGCTGCCCTGCAGCCAGTGAGAACTGGGCCTTACAGCCTTGGCTTGATGTGCAGTAGGGACTCTGCAGTCAGTGACTGCCATGTGGATTCATTTTAAGGGCATTTGCAATGGCCCTCGCTCTCTGCCTGATCTACTAGGTTCTAGTGCAACAACACCCCAAATCTCCCTCAATTACTGGTGCTTAAGAGGCTCTGCTGCATGTGCCCCAGGCCAGGCCTCATCTTTGAACACAGAGGAAATGAGCCTTTGTGGAGGCGGTTTTTTTAAAGCGCTGCTGCGCCGCGACCACACAAGGCACATTAAAGCACTGCCGTGGCAGCGCTTTAGCGTTGCCAGTGTAGACCAGCCCTGAGCTGTGCAGGATAATGAACCATGCAAAGTGCTAATGATGCAAGAGGCTGTGATTACAGCTAGGAGAATCTGGTCTCTGCACAGCTCCCACTGTCTTAGGCTATGTCTGCACTACAGCCTATATCAACAGAACTTATGTCACCCAGGAGGGTGAATAAACCACACCCCGAGCGATATACGTTACACCGACAAGTGCTCGTGTGCACAGCGCTATGCCAGCAGGAGAGCTGCTTCTGCCGTTCGTGGAAGTGGTTTTATTATGCCGAGAGGAGAGCTCTCCCCCATTGGCATAGAGTGTCTTAACTGGATGCGTTGCAGCAGCGCAGCTGCATTGGTAGAGCTGGGCCATGCACTACTGTTCATGTAGACATGTCCTTAGTTTAACCTGGTACTCCCAGTGCTGCAGTGGGGCCCTTTCTCCCCCCAGCCCTGAGATTTCCAACCCCTAGGCGTATTCTCAGAGCCTGAATCCTCTCCAGGCCTTCAGACCAAATGCTGAACTAAAGCAGGTGGGCAGAACCCCAGTGAGACTGACTTTTATCTCTGTATTCTGATGGGAAGGGGCAGGGTTCTGGGGGAAGGAGGATCTGGACACTGTGATTACAGCCCCACCACAGCCTGCTAAGAGGAGTGACAGATTCCGGAGAAATATCGCCGTTTGGAGACTTAGCAACAGCCCTCATAGGAGAGAAAATATTCATTAGAAAAGGAGCAAAAGTGATGGATGAACTCATTCTGCAGGCTGGGCTGGCGGATGCCGGCTGGCTGGCTGTATTGATTTCCATGTGGAAGGGGGAGAAATGGATCAGCACAGGCACTGTAACAGACAAAAGCTTTCAGGGCCCCAGCGGGCCCCCTTGGCTGCAGTCCTCGCTGACCCAAGGGAGTCCTCTGTCACCATGACAGGAGAGTCAGGCCAGCTCTGCTGGAGTTTCTCAGGCATATTGGTGCAGGCTTCTTACGGCCTCATCCTAGGTGGTGGGGTGAGGCTGCAGGGATTCTGTCACCCCAGTATCCTGATAGATGGTTACTGCTAGACCCTGTATCTCGGGTCATTACCTTCTGCCTCCCTCAGTTCCCCCTGGCAGTTTCCAGTGATAGAGGATACTTCTTCACTTCCTGTCCGAACCTGTTGGGTGGTGTTTTCTACTGAGGAAAACAGAAAGGAGCATAAACTTTGGCCAGCCAAGTGTAGAAGTATAATTAGGCAAGGCAAAAAGAATTTGAAGAGCAACTAGCAAAAGACTCAAAAACTAACAGCAAAAAAATGTTTAACTACATCAGAAGTGGGCACTGGACAATCAAGGACGATAAGGCCACTGCAGGGAAACTAAATGAATTGTTTGAATCGGTCTTCACTGCGTAAGATGTGAGGGAGGTTCCCAAACCTGAGCTATTCTTTTTAGGTGACAAATCTGAGGAACTGTCTCAGATTGAGGTGTCAATAGATGCGGTTTTGGAACAAATTGATAAATTAAACAGTAAGTCTCCAGGCCCAGAAGGAACTCAAATATGAAATTGCAGCATTAACTGTGGTATGTAACCTATCGCTTAAATCAGCCTCTGCACCAGATGACTGGAGGATAGCTAATGTGATGCCAATTTTTAAAAAAGACTCCACAGGTGATCCCAGCAATTAGAGGCTGATAAGCCTAATTTCAGTACCAGGCAAATTGGTTGAAACTTTAGTAAAGAACAGAATTATCAGACAAGTAGATGAACGTGATTTGTTGGGGAAGAGTCAAAACAGCTTTTGCAAAGGGAAATCGTGCCTCACCAATCCATTAGAATTCTTTGAGGGGGTCAACAAGTATGTGGACGAAGGAGGTCCAGTGGATATAGTGTACTTGGACTTTTAGAAAGCCTTGACAAGGTCCCTCACCAAAGGTTCATAAGCAAAGTCAGCAGTCATGGGATAAGAGGGAAGATCCTCTCCTGGACCGGTAACTGGTAACAAAAATAGCAGGAAACAAAGAGTAGGAATAAACAGTCAGTTTTCGCAGTGGAGAGGTAAATAGTAGCGTTCCCCAAGGATCTGTATTGGAACCAGTGCTGTTTGACATATTCATAAATGATCTAGAAAAAGTGTAAACAGTGAGGTGGCAAAGTTTGCAGATGATTCAAAATTACTTGAGACAGTTAAGGCCAAAGCAGACTGCGAACAGTTACAAAGGGATCTCACAAAACTGGGCAAGAAAATGGCAGATGAAATTCAATGTTGATGAATACAAAGTAATGCACATTGGAAACCATAATCCTAACTATACATATAAAATGATGGGGTCTAAATTAACTGTTACAACTCAAGAAAGAGATCTTGGCATCATCATGGATAGTTCTCTGAAAACATCCACTCAATGTGCAGCGGCAGTCAAAAAAGCAAACAGAATTAGGAAA